AGCAAAGCTAGTATGCCATGAAGTCTTACTAAGTACCTGGGAAACCAAACTGGCTTATAAGAAAGACTAAAAGAAGAATAGAAAAGAGACATGGCAAGGCAAAATATTACATGGCCAGTACATTAAAGGAAACAAACAAACAAACCCGGCAAAACAGATAACAAGAAGGCCTGAGAATGGCTATGAAAAGGAAAATTAAGAAAAAGACAGAGGGACTAATTCTGGCTGTACAAGATCAAGCCTTAAGAACAAATGCATACAAAGCAAGAATTGAGAAGATAGTGACAGACAGCAAATGCCATCTACGCAAAGAAGCTAAAGAAACAGTAGACCACCCAGTTAGCTGCTACAAGAAGATTGTACAGACAGATTGTAAACAATAGTATGACAAAGTAGCAACAATGATACAAAGATCTATATGAAGATCTAATACTATTAGGTGGAAGAAATACTATTTGCCTGCAAGCAAGAACTGAAAGGATCACAGAAGACAAAATAATAGAAAATGACATCATTAAAGTCATCTGGAACTTTAGAAATCAAACAGACAAGGACCTGCCACATAACATCCCATACTTTAACAAGTATTACTAAGGACAAAAGAATCCAGAGACTGGATGCTGCATTTCCTGGCGACAGAGAAATAGAAAAGAAAGAACTGGATAAAATTGCAAAATACCAAGACCTACAATACAAATAGAACAACAGTGGTAAAAGAAAGCAAAGATAACACCAATAGTAAAGATGTTTTGGGTGCAATCTTAAAACATCTGGACACCATTCAAACATTGACAAAATCACTATCAGTCAATTTCAAAAGGCAGCTTTACTTGGACCAGTAAACTGAGAAGAAAAGTCAATGAAGCCAGATTCACTTAACAACCGTGTTACTAATTTAACGACTGCAGTGATTCGCTCAATAAATGTGACAAGAAAAGTCGTAGAATGGGACAAAACTCACTTGACAAATTTCTTGTTTAGCAACATATGTTCTGGGCTCAATTTTGGTCATAAGTTGAGGACTACCTGTAATCAATTCTGCTTTTCAGATGAAACTTGCAGTCTTTTAACCTGACGTAGAATACCTTGAGCTCGTAGAAATAAAATGAAGAGTGTGGCTGTACAAGATCAAGCCTTAAGAAAAAATGCAAATGGGGTCGGGGGGGGGGGACCAGGATCAGAAGACATACTTAAATTTACATTATAGGTATTGGAGAATGTCAAGCTGAAAGACATCAGGTCATTGTGGCCTCTCCCTTCTCTTTGTTACAGAAACCCAGTTATTGCATGTCTCCTGCCAGTAGGTAATACTTTTAGGGGGAAGGACAAGGACAACAACAGACGCAGGCAAAGGATGGCTCTGTTGGCTATTGGTCTATTGAAATCAAGGAAGTGGAGACAAATTAATGATGACTAATCTAAATCCCATTTACTATTTAAATCCCAGCTCTAAGCACAATAATAACGCCAGACATATTTCTGGAAGGCAAAACCACAAAATTCTGCCTTATTTATTTCAGTCATGTCATGTACTCAAACTGACAGGAAAAAGGAGTTACGCTTGGAAGGGTCAGCAATAAAAGGAAACAAGGATACAAAAAAATGGTGGCTAGGCACCATCAAAGCCAACACCAGCCAGAGCATAAAACAACTGCAAGAAGCCCTATAAGATCATAAAATATGGAGCGACGTGATTCAAAAAAGGAAGAAAATTGGACCTGATTAAATGGATAGCAACATCAACCACAAGAATATTTTATCTAGCCTGCTAGAGGGTTCCAGATATTCCCCCCATCATGGAATAAAGTAGTTATGGTTTAATATCAGACGATCGCGTGGGATTGTAGAAACATTTTTGTAAACAGAATAAACAAAGCTCTGTTTGCTTACTTTAGTTGCTTATTTTATTGTGCTTATAAGCTATTCCAATCATAAACAATTCTGTGCTGGATATAGACATCCAAGCGAATGTTGTCCATTTGCTATTCGTGCTAAGGATAAAGATACCGATCTCCTTGACATGTGAAAATCTGATGAAAAATTGATCATTCCAGCCCTGCTCCTCCCTAGATTTATAAAGGGCTTGATTTCATGACAGGGCAACAATGCCTGGGAATCTGCTACAAGGTGGCTGAATGAAAAATACTCTGCATTCTGAGTTAGCAGAAGCGACACCTCAGGGACAGGTTGGACTAGGCTCCTTTCCCAAGCTGCTTAAGGCAAAATCACAAAATGTTGCCTTACTTATCTCAGTCAAGTCAGGCGCTCAAACTCACTAGAAAAGGCAGTTATGCTCTAAGTGGCTGGCGGTAAAAGGAAATGAGGCCGCCCGAAGCCCCTGTGGCTGGATACCATTCAAAGCCGAGCATAAGTAACTGAAAGAAGCCATACAAGATCAAACAATGTGGAGAGATTTTAATGTCAGAAAGGGCTGTGCACATGATAAGAAACTCAGAAGTGATCAAGGTCAAAATCTCAGACAAAGTCCTAGATTGGTGTCCATAGGGATTACCAAACAACCCTAGTCTTTTCAACATGTGGAAAGCCAGGCCAGCCATGCTTTGCTACATTATCAAACTACACCACTGCAACAGAAAGACTTTAGTTGTGCACGTTATGGATAAGAATATTAGTGGAAGGCAGCATGTTTCTCCATAGCATATTAGAAAGCTCTTTATCTATCCACCACACTCGATTTAGATATTCCCCATTTTTCTTTCTAGTGGGAATTGTTTATATTTGCACCTTCACTATCTCATTTCATAGGGTTTCCCATCGCTTCTAGCAGTGGTGGGATCCAATTTTTTTTACTACTGTTTCTGTGGGTGTGGCTTGGTGGGCGTCGCATGGCTTGATGGGCGTGGGAGGGGAAAGATACTGTAGAATCTCCATTCCCTCCCCACTCTAGGGGAAGGTTACTATAAAATCCCCATTTCCTCCCGATCAGCTGGGAGTTGGCCCTTGGGAGGCAGAGAATCGATGGGGGCAGGCCGGGCCAATCAGAGATGGTATTTACAGGTTCTCCAAACTACTCAAATTCCCGCTACCGGTTCTCCAGAACTGGTCAGAACCTGCTGAATACCACCTCTGCCTTCTAGACGCACTTTCCCTTCAGGATTTCAAAATCTACTATACAAACCTGACTGTTCTCTATTTTTCCTCATTTTGACATGGTGAATTCAAGGATAACATGAGCACTTTTTCTGAAGATTCCATTTACCTTTATTCAACCAATTTCTTCCTGTTGTAAAAAGTGGGCGTAGGACTATGGATTCCATGGTTCCTTCTTCCACCTTCTGTGAAATCAAATCAGTGAGGAGGACATTAAATCTCCAACTCTTTGGTGAATTAGATTTGCAACATATGTCAAGGTAATTAATTATCCCATTCTTATGAAACTTCCATGTTGCTCAAGTATTCTGACTGATGCAAGGAAAGAATTTTGATAATTCTAATTAGAATAGAATGTGCTATTTGGCAGATTAATAAGAGTAATTCATTTCTGTGTCATCAGCTGCTTTTAAAGGGAAATATCTGCACAACTGGCTGTCCTATAGTTTTGTTCTGTGGCCTTCCTAAGAATGACCAGAGTGTGCACAGTCCTACCAACATTACATCTGCTTAACACTTGTTGCTGTAAAAACTGTCCTTTGCAGTTCCTCTCTACCACTGAATGCTTTAGATTGCCTGTTATAGTACCTGCAGACATTCTAAAAACATTTACTTGCACATTCAGGAAATTCTTCCTTTTGGGAGAGTACATATTTTGCTGCTGTCTATCCAAACCTCAGTGAGAGTGAGTGAGGATGAGAAGAGCCAAATATGGGATAAAACAGGGGTAAGGTGTGGGTGGGAGAAACAATGTTCCCGAAACTAGGACATAGATGAAAAGATTAGTTCTGCAGTTTTTGCTTAAAAGTTGCAAATCTGCAAGGATCTGGTACATGACAGCTTATATTGTTGAAATATATTGTTCATACAGGTTTTCTTCAACACACAGGATCAAGCCAAAAGGACTTGTGATTATGACATTGGTTTTAAATAACACTCTAGAGCAGTATTTTTCTCAACTGTGGCAACTTTAAGCTGACTGAGAAATTCTGGGAGTTGAAACTCACACATATTAAATTTGCCAAGATTGAGAAAGATAGACCTAGGTTAAAACACTTAAAACACTTATGATTATAACCATGTTGCTTGTATCTTTCAATTTATATTGTTTATGTTTGTTTCCTAGTACAATTTGATAGCTTATTAGTACTTGTACTTGTACTTGCTTATTAGTAACCTTGACTATCGCTAAGCGTTGTATTTTTTTTATTCTTGATGAATGTATTTTATTTTCCTTATGTACACTGAGAACATATGCACCAAAGACAAATTCCTTGTGTGTCCAATCACACTTGGACAATAAAGAATTCTATTCTATTCTAATCTAAATGCGGTTGGTTATTTTGAGTTCAGTGGGTTGTGTGAATGAATCTAGAGAGCTGGATGAATTCAGGGAAGCATAGTTCAGTAAGCCAAGGGTTACTGTGTTGTGCAAACACGCCACTTACTCAGAAGTAATAAATGCTACGCTGCAAAGGATTCAATTGCTCATAGGGACAACTAAACGCCCTAAACCTGCGCAGAGTAATAAAAACTACACCACCCAAGATGCATCCTTCTGCAAAAGCCACTCATCGGCGCGGCGCATGACGGGGCAAAGAAGACCTTTCTCCTCCGCGTTCCTCTGCCCATGACGTCACGCCAAACTCCCTTGCCGGCCGCTATAGCATCTGCACCAACGCAATTTCGCTCGGCCCGAAGCAACTTTCTTTTCCGTCTTCTCCGGAGTTCTGGCTGGCACTTGGAAAGACCAATGCGCGTTTTGGATCCGCGCGTTTTCCGCCAATTGGAGGACTGGGGGGGCGGTGTTTCTGGAGTGGCCCACCCAGCGCTCAGCTGAGCATTGGAGTCCGGCAACGGCCCCCTGGGAGAGGAGGCGTGCTTGGGTTTTTTTAAAGGGCCAGTAGCGGAAGAAAGTTGCGGGCAGAGTTTCCTTGAGGAGGGGGGGGGGCGCTTCTTCGGGCTCCCTGATTGGTCCTTGTCCGGCCCCTTCAGGGTTGGCAAACAGAGCGCCGCGCCTTGGTTGGGGCCGACTGTCTGGGGAGCCTCTGGCCGCAGAATGGAGCAGGCAGCGCCTAAAAGGTAACGGTCAGGGCCTCCCTCGTTCCCGGGAGACTCGCTGCGGCGGCAGCGAGGTTTACTTTGGGCGAAAGGAAGGAGGCCGGTGTAGGCCGCGTACCCCGCAGTTCGCCGCTCCTGGAAGCCTTTGACTCCCCGTCACCGGGCAGGCCTCCCAGCTTGAGGTGCCCCCTCGCCTTGGCTTCACCCCTCTGCGCTTGTCGGGCGTGAGGGGCCTATTTCTGGATGGCACCGGAAGGAGGCTTTCTCGCAGCCTTTCTCAGCGGGATGACTCCGACGGGCTGGCTAGAGGAGATGGGAGATGCAGTCCAGTAGATTGGAGGGAATTCTGGGCTGGCTAGAGGAGATGGGAGTTGTAGTCCCATAGGTTGGAGGGTATTCTGGGTTGGCTAGAAGATATGGGAGATGTAGTCCTGTAGGTTGGAGGGTGTTCTGGGCTGGCTAGAGGAGATGGGAGTTGTAGTCCCATAGGTTGGAGGGCATCTCTCCTGGGATAAGGCTGTTTTACGTGTAAAGAAGCCCTCAATGCACAACACCTGGAGAGAAATGGGCTTTTCTTGTTTCCATGCATGTTTTTAAATACATAGGTAACATAATTCCCGCCTACAAACAGTCACCTGGACTGTGAGACTCACCTGCCTGGTTTCCTAGAGAAATACTGTAACCTACTCACTTAGCATACCTTAATCATTCACTTCTTGGTATAGCAGTATGATTATATTGATTAGGTGCCATCAAGTCATTTTGACTCCTTGTAACCACATAGGTAGCTTTCCCCATGATAATCTATACATAACCCTAGTGGCTCTTATGTCTCCCAATGATGTGCTCTCATTGCCTTGTAACTGAATCCATCCACCTTTGTTGCTGGTTGTCCTCTTTTTTTTTTTCATCTTTCCCAGCCGTAGATCTTTCCTGAGAGGTGGGTTTTTGCATAATATGTCCCAAATAAGGTAATTTGAGCTTGGCCCTTTGTATGCCAGTAAAATTATATGGAAGCTTCAACATACTTTTAATGTGTCCTTGGTGTGTACTGTGTGATGCTTAAGCCCATGCAGAAATAAAGACCTCCCATCTAGCCCTAAGTCTAGTTCGGGTAGTAATGGGGCAAGAAATTAATCTCTCATGAAAATATATATTCATACCGCCCACCTAAGACCTCCCTGGTGATGCCTCCCTGGGGCAGAGAATATGTCCCCAATGCCTCTCTGGTAAATGACCACCAGAGAGGCATTTGACTCTGTCGTCATGAAAGTGTATGAAAATGGAAACTTGGGAAATCTTTGCGTGTTGGTATTACCACAATGGGTTTTGAAAATATGTGCTTGAAATGGGCAATGGCAGAAGAATGTGGCTTATTTTTAAACTGTGTTTTTGTTCACATTAAATTTTTACAATACATTTGCATTAGCTCTGGATGAGAAGTTGCTCAGTCTTGAAATATTGAACTTTTGAATAATGGGAACATATTTTTAGAAGCAGTATTCTACTTATACATAAACATTGCATTTACAAAATATTTTCAGAAAAAAAACAAAAGTAGTTTAAATCATCTTTATTGTAATATCAATGTAATATAGTCATCTCCTTGAAAGGAGTAAGTCAGTGATTGGAGGCACATGTACAGTAGGGGAATTCAAAACTAATCCAGGTAGAACCTGGGGGGTAAGTCATTAAAGATTAAGGTTTTTTAAAATCATAAATAACAAATAATGCCTGTAAACATATAAACAATCTTCTTGAAATGGTAAACTATTTATTTCTATCATAGCGGAACGTAGGCTCTTTGATAGAATGACTGGTGGCATTTAAGAAAATTATTTATATATTGAGTTTCCATATTGTTATGCAACTACCCTAAAAGGGAAGTTGATGTTAGTGGGTGTGCTTAATGTTTTTCTTTCTGTTCTGCTTAGGTTACTGAGTATAAGCTGGCCATGATTAAGCACCTACAGCTGTTTTTTTCTGTCATTTTAGATCTAGATTAAATTCCAATTTCCTCACCTCCAGAAACTGTCATCCTGTTTATTTTTCCATTTGTAAATTATGTGAGCCCTGGCTATAGTTACTGGAACTTTCCTTTGGAATTTTTCTGATGCAGTCTGTCTTTTACAGTACCACCTATTTCACTTAAAACTGCTTGAAAACATTATGGGGCAAAATTCACTACTCTGGATAGCCAACATGTTGTTCTTTCTCTTTTTTCTTTACCTAGATGCTTTTTCTGTTCCTGGTAAGAATTAAGGGCTTCTACCTTCAGTTGAGCCTTGTAATTGAGCCGCAGCTTAGTTGGCCAGAAATTCTATGCAGGTGGATGAATGAACTTCAATACCAAGGACCTGCTAGAAAGAAACTAAGACCATTTCATTTGTGTTCAACAAATGAATTCATTATGCTATAATATAATTATTTTTTTCCTGCTGTGGTAGCTTTCAGTAATTTGATAGAATCTCTGTGGGTTCTTTCTTTAGTTTATCTTTTCCTTTCAACTGTACTGGTATTCTTCTGAATGGAAGTTGTAGGATACCTAGTGTTAGTTTTATGGTATGGGTGACTATATCAAGTATTTGTTGCTATTTAATTCGAGAAAAGATGAGCTAACGAACAAAATATGAGAATTTTTGACCGTAAAATTATATGCTGTTTTAGTACATTCAATCATACCCTTGTGCACACATACTGTACACTAAATATAGGAATAGCATTGTTAAACCTAAACCAAAGTAGCACATAAAGTTTATTATTAACATGAATCCTCATAACCATATAGGGTATCTGACTTCATATAAATATTCTCAAGAAAAAAAGGGAAGTTCACATGCAAAGGTATTTGTAGTTTCTTTTTTTAAAGCTGTTTTATCGGAGTAAATTTGAACATTATCTTGGTTACAAATTGGAAAAAGTATAAAGGCTTATAAAATATAAGCACTGATTAAGAACCAGCAGTCTTTGAAAGGTTGGAGATATAATTAAGTAGTGATGAACTTTTGGGATGAATGGCTGTGATATAGTTTTATTTTGTCTTGATATTCTGCTAGCAATTGTGTGACATTTTCAGGGACAGAGGGAGCTGCTTTGTGATGTACCTCTGGGCAGTTCACAGCAGCTGATCTGGGCTGATGAGCTCTTGGTTAGGACTTATCAAGTGATATCTGATTGATCCATGTCACAGGCATCCAAAGAAGTTGGTTCCTGATTGATTCCTCATCTTTAATGTATAGTGATTACTCCAGAGAAGTAACAAGTCAGACTTTCGTCTTATATATCGTAATAGCAAGACAAATCCAGATCATGTTGATAAATTTAAATATATCTGTCCAACTCACATACAGCTCTAAAATCCCAATAAGTATTATTTCAAACTATGGAGCTTGCAATAATAACTGGAATTTTTTAAATTTACATTTCTAACTTCAAAAATGTGAATAATATTGTTCAATATTTTTTCTGTGCTGAGAAAAAAATTACTTGAAAATTCCCTGAAAATTTCCACATGTATATTTTCTCCTCCCCATTATGTAATGTGTCTTGGGTATCTGCACAGGAGGAGTAGAAAAGTAAATTGTTTCTTTAATTTGCAATATAGATGATTTCAGACATTACAGTAAAGGACAGCTATGTATGTCTATTCAAAAATGAATTCCATTAAGTTATGTAGGACGTATTCTTAGTAAGTATGATTTTTGCAAAGGTTTTTGCTAATGGAGCAAGGAACTCAAAACAATTACTGCTTTATAGGCTGGGTGACTGAGTCAGTTGCTTTCATTCAGTTCTAGGAAGAAGGCTACGGTAAGCCATTTCTGAAAATGCTATCAAGAAAACTTCAGAGTTGTCTGTGCATGCATGCACGTATGCACACAAAATAAAACAAAACAAATAGAACATATGATAATTTGAGTTTCCTTTTCCCCTATCTGGTCAATTACTATAGCATCTGCACTACAGAAAATTTTAACAGACCTGGAATTTATTGGACTTCTTGCAAACTAAATACAAAGTTAAATTGGAGAGACATTCGAATAGTGTATTTTAAGTGGTGATTCAGAGGCACAGTATTTCTTCTAGTTCATGGATTTTATAACAAACAAACACAAATGCTACTTTGTATAATTCTTGAAGTTTATCACTTTGGTCATAGTTTATCCCTTTTATGTTTTGTGGCAAATATTCTTATCAGTCCTGGGCTATACTGCCTTGGTTAGTTAGTTTACTTTATTGTCATTGCACTTAGTTAAAAAAAAAAGGGTGCCCAGGATGAGATGGGATGTTTAAGAATGTTTTTAACTTTCTTAAGGCAGCAGGAACTATAAAGCTCTTCCAAAGAGGGGAGAGGGCAACCAATGATCCTTTGGCCAATGATGTTAACTCTCTGGAGTGCTGTCCTATCTGCAACTGTGTAAATTGGCAAACCATACACAGTAAATTAAAATAATCTCTATGGTGCAGCGGTAAAAGATCACCAGTAGTTTTTCATTCAGTTGTTGTTTCGTGAGAAGTCTCAGGTAGTATAATCTTTGCTGGGCTCTTTTGACCAGTGCTGCAATGTGAACGCCCAGGTCAGTTCCTCTTTTATGATAATACCCGGAATTTAAAACTGGCCGCTTGCTTTACTTGGTCTCCATTGATAAGCAAGGGCTGGATGT